GACTTCAATAAAAATAAGCACAAAGCAGATGCAATTTTCATAACCAGCTTTATGATGAAGAAATCAGCTGTCTCATCGGACAGAGCTTTGGTATCTAGCTATAATTTGCACATGAAATCTGCAACTATGAGCAGTCTTAATGTCCAAAAGTCTTAATGAAAGCAAGACAAAGGTTATTTTTGGCAGGGGACACCGCATGAAATGTAAAACTACCACTTTCTAAACTTGAAAACATAAAAAGAAAACGTAGACTTTAAAGGACCTGAGATTCACTGTGGCCAACTGAGCAAAAGACCTCTGCTCAGTGCCCAGCTGCCGAAGTGCATGAAGAGGGAAGGATGGGCACAGGGCTTACAGGGGTCCAGCAATGTGCACCAGGAGCTCATGTGGCGCTGAGGGCACTTATGTTCTTTGGAGCACTGGAAGACTATGTTACCGAAAAGAAATATATAATATTTTATGCATATTTTAAATCCAGTGGAGAAAGAGATGCCTTGTCAAAAGATGTTCAAAAGTATGTAGAGCTCCAGTGTTTCTGGCACACTACAGATGACTGAAGCTAGGAGGAAACAAAGCTCATTTTATCTCGGGCCCTGAAACACTGGGAAAGGCATCAAGGTGTATTTCCTTTGGAATACAATTCTGCCTTCAAATGGAAGACAAGACTGGGACAATTTCACTATCTTTAAAGATATCTGTCTCTTTGGCTACTGTTAAAGCTTTAATAACCTAACTTCTCAGGATTTAATAAAAAGAGCTCCTGAAAAACAGTTTTTACCCTGTATGAAGCATCCTTTAAAAAGCCCAAGTGTCCTGGAGTGGGTATCTCCAGATTTCCTATGACAATACACAGGCACATTCCTCCAGTCACACAGTCAGAGCCAGTGCCTGGAAGGGCACAGAAATGCCTGCTGGAAGCACATGTAGCATTAAATCTAACAGGCTAGGAAATAGTGTTTTGACTGAGAAATAGCTTTTGACATGCTTTCATGACATACCCTGCTACAAACACTCACCGCCTGTAATAAGCAGGCCATAAAGATCTATGTGGGATTGCTTTGTTCATATGTTCACAGCATGTGATTTAGTATAACTATGAATGTGCTTGGAGAACAAAAATGTTATTTTAAGATTAAAACTGATTAGCTCCCCTGACTGTTTCAGAGCAGAATAATAATAATTTTCATGGTGCCCATCAAATGGAAAAAAACATTGACCTAAAAAATCTGAAGAAAAAGAAATCAAAACCATATTTTTATATCTTTTCATACGGGAAATAATAAATTGCTATTTGAACTAGAACTTGACATGTGGAAAATCCCGTATCATCTACCTTGATGGAACATTCTATGATATATAGTTTGCAATTCACATCATACCACACATACAATGAAACAATTTGTAATACTCTAGCTTCAGACAAGATTAACAGAAGTGGCAGCTTTCAGAGCTGTTGTATAGAAGAGAAGTTGTAAGAAGAGTTAAGTTGTAAGAGCACTTAGTTTTGACATCATTAAAAAACACTAGGATTTCAGTTTTTAATCTTAGATCTGATTTCCCAAGTCTAAAGAGCCAAAATATGCTGATATGCGTGTCAATCCCCAGGTCTTTGCGAAACACTAGGAAGCATTCTGGGAATAAATCTAAACTGGACAACACTGCATGGTTGCTGGGGATTCAGTCAATCCATCCCAGATGCCATGTCAGACGGGTCTCCTGAATTCCTTGGGGGAAGTACAACTAATTCTAGGTATTCTATCAACACGAAGATGGGATACAGAACAAAAGAGCATTAAGAGATGGACCCTCAGCTAATAATGAACCAGAAAAAAACTCTGCCAAAATCTAAAAAAAAAACCCCAACAGCCATGATACAAAGAAAAGGGAATGCACACAAAAGTCTACAGGCTGGTAAAACAAAAGCCATTACTATCAATCACATTATTATACAATCATAAATCACATTTATACACAAATGTCTGCAGAGTACTATGTAAGCCAAAGGGCTATCTGGCTGCAAACATTGCTGTTCAATTCCAAACTGCCAGGCACAACCAATTTGCACAGAGCTGTGAAAAAATCTTCTTTATGAAAATGCAGAACAGTATTAAAGCTGCTAGCACAATTTTTTAATATTGAAAATGTGCTCATAATATAAGTCCCTGAAATAGCTCATCCTGTGTCAGCTTGTTATTCTGTAAGTCTGCATTAGCCTATACTATAACTGTCGTTCTATTTGTTAGTTCACATCTCTATCTTCCAAAAAGCAAATCAAAATATCTCCACTGCCAGAACGTATTGAAGCATGCAGAAAAAAGAACAAATAATGAGAAAGCATAAAAAAACAGCCTAGGCCATTGTGTGATGACATGAATGACATCTTCCCACGGATGCCAGAAGCAATCCGCTGCCATTTGACCAAGCAGAGGTATTCCTTCTGGGACTACTCAGAACGTGATTTTCATCTCATTGTTTCCACTCCAGTTCCCATTCCATATAAACAAATGCAAAAATATTTGCAATAGTATATGCTGTGAGATTGCATAGTTTTGTTTATAGATCATAGACCATGTCACTTTTTTAACCATAGCACTGGTATCACTGTTATTGTTTTATTAATTTGATATTTAAACATTATGGAACGAATAGTTAAACAGTCTAAGTCTGTAGATAATACTTTATATAAATATACATATATATGCATGTGTAAGTGTATATTTATATACCCATATATACACACATATTCTTAAAAAAAACCCCAAGACGTTCACCAAATTAGGGTAAGTTATTAATTTGACATAGAGTATTTACTTGGACAGCTGGATTTTATAGTTTACTGGATGGATGTGGTATCAGATGGTCCAAAATAAATCAAATTTACACCTACCAAATATACTTTAAAATGTCATTAAACCTTGGAAAATAAGTAACAGGGAAAGACATCTTAGATTTTTTTAATCCCTCAAAGCCATGTTGCTTCTTTTTTTTGTAGAATGAAAGCAGACTTACCCACATGAGCACTCCGCATGATCTTAAAATGTACATAGTCAGCTCACCTTTTTTAATTGATGCTTTTAAAATCTCTGTTTTATATTGAAATAATGCACCATGTTATGCAACTGCCTCAAACTATCTTAAGGTACTGAATTCACGTGTGAAAGCATGGTGAGAGCCTGATGCAAATGCACTGCATTTCTGCGAAAATCACTATTGTCATTCTATAGTCACGTCCACCTCTCCGTGCTTTCAAATACAACACTTTACAAATAAAATAGCATAACCCTATTCCCCAAAGCAGGTAGACAAGTTGAGGTCCCATCCTCTCTCCTTGCATGGCCTTTCTAGCTCACCTGCACCCTTCCTCCAATCTTAGCCAGTTAAGCTGGGGCACCTCCTGTCTCCTCTTTTCCTCGGTTCCCAGTGTCCTTCCTTCTGCTCAGCTACTCTCACATCTGCTCAACTGGATCATGGCCTTTTGTTGTCTGATCCACTCACTTGCCCCCATTTCTCCTTCACCAGTTCAACAACCATCCTGTCCTCCAGCTACCATCCCTTCTCTCCCTGACAGCTTCTGGTTTCACCGTTGCACGGGCCTACCACAGATGTTGGCCAGGGCATGTGTGAACATAATGGAGAAATGATGAGATCAGCTCAGCTTCTCAGAGATGAGGAAGGTTCAAATACATTCAGTAAGGAAGGAGGGAATCTCCAGATATTTATAGCTGTTAAATTGCTATGTGAGTTGTGCAAACTGCAAAGCCTTTATGAGGGCTTGGAAACTTGTTTTCGTGGCTTTTCATTTGAAAGGCAGGGTACCTGTCCATGAAACAAAGATCTGAGCTTCTGCTCCAGGGTGCTGTGATACCAGAGCATTTCAAAGAAAAGCCCTTGACAACTGAAAAATTGAAAATGTGAGCAAAGCAATACATTTCTCCAGCCCTTTTCTTGGAAAAACCTCACGGCTTCAGTCAACATTTTCCAAAATAATTTCATAATATTATAATATTTCAAAATAATAAAGTTTGTAAGGATTAATGAACGCACTTTGTGTGGACAATTCCAGACCAAATAATTAAAGTAAGGCATTATTAGTGCTAGCCAATAAAAAAGGGATTATGTAAGTGCATATTTGTGAGAACTTTACAACAGGCATTGTGGCCAGCCATGGTAAAATTAGGGGGATATGATAAAAAGAACTTGTGATGAATAAATACATTTTTCTGTATTTGCAGCCTTCAAGGCATATATCCTCAGAAAAAAATGCAAGTTCAGCAGCATCTATGTAAGCTTCCCAGCTGTGGCTCACCTATATCACTGAGCCCCCTCCCCTCACTGCCCCCAGGCATTCTTTCTGTCTGGAACTGCTGTATCTGTCTACTAACACGTCCCTAGGATACATGGTTGAATCTCTGAACCAATACTGGACGTGAAAGGCTTTTGATTAGTAATGGCCAGTCTTCTCTATGAATGTATGTTTTGTGGCAGGAATTCCCAAATTTAATTTGTTCAAGTGCCACCCTTAGCAGTGATGACCATGGTAACAGAAGCGACATATGCATATACAGACACACAAGAACGCATTTCCATAAGTGCTTTGAAGTAGCATACACAGCACTAGTCACATTATAACATAGCTTGGGTTGCAGGGACAGGTGGAAAATCAGCAGTTGTTGCCAATGATTCTTTGTCACTGGCCAACGCCAGAATGCTTTGAGAGGCTACAAAGATAATCCATCTAGGACTGGCAGAGCTGTTGTCTTGGAAAATTTTCCTCTCCTTTTCTGGATGGACCTGCATTTGCTGAAATTGCAAGCACATCTCGAAAAGTTTCCATCACAGACAAGAAGCAACTATATATAACTCACCACACGGCATTATTTTTGTATCCTCAGATTCAGAGCTAGTTAACCACAAAATTGTATTCAAAAGCTATGTTCAGTTGTGATTTGTTCTGACATAAGTTTTAAAATGCAGTATAGAGAAGAAATTCAGTTCCCTACCTTTCTTGTAAGTGGCACTTCAATAGGGACGGGGACAACTTCCGCAAGCAGGCAGCCGTAAAATGCTACCATGAAAGCAGCAGGATCATTGTTAGGAAATACGAGTGTTACCTGAAACAAAAAGACCTATGTTAAAAATGTTTTATCCAAGGTTTCAGATAATGATAATTAGAGTTTCCATGTTTCCTTTAGGAGAGAGATGATTACCAAAACATTTCTATGATAACTATTCAAATACCTAATGAAAGATGAATTAAGAATAAGAAGGAATTTATTCTGATAGATATTCCTTTTGTGAACATTTTCACTTACGATGGAGTTAAATATTTTCCTGGTGCATTGTTTCCTACATTGACAATACCTTTCATTTGGTTCTCAATTTAGTGATTGCTTTACAGATGTTAAATAACCACATAAATGGAATTAATAGAATTTTACACTCTAATTAAATAATTTGCTTGAAGTTACTGAAAACAAAGTGGATCCATGACCAATTCAGATTACCCAGACTTACTATGCCATTATGTCAATCACTAACACATTACGTTTTGTCTCCCTATGTTTTGCCTCATACAACAATTTCATTTTAGGATTGGATTGTTGTTCCAGTGTAGGAGTTTCTGTGTACTTAGTGCACATCAATAGCTGATATTTAGAGAAGCAAACATCACATCCAGAGCTGGCCATATAGCACGCCAAGATAGCCCTGCATTTGTTAAACTTCACAGCTTTAGGGCTAGGGCTAGGTAACTATTTTGATAAAAGAATGCCAAGAAAAGATAAAATAGCATAGTAAATCACTTGTATGCTCAATGGGTGCCCTTCCTCCCCCAATGAGCTAAACTGTGCAGCTTACTTCTGTGGGCACTGCAGACAGTGTCTTAGATCCTCCAGTGGGCAAAGGGGAAGGAGAGGTGAGAGTGCACGGTCTCACTGAGGATCCAGCAACTTAGAGAGTCCACGACACTCCTTGCAAGGGCAGGGAAAAACTACTGCTCTCACTTACTGCTGAATGACCTCAGTGGCTAGATCCTGCCTACGTTTTTGTTTTGGTTCAGTCAGATGCACATTCTCAGCTCACATCTTAAACAGCTGTAATGCAGCTGGTAACTATCTTGCACGGTCAACTGAAGTGGCATGCAAAAGGCATGGAGAATGACTTCAAACTTAATTCCTTTGGGCTTGCACACAGGATCAGAGTGTATTATTACAGCATCTTAAAATTTGCTGAAACTACTTAATAACTCTTGAGTTTTGGCTGCTTTGTCATCCATAAGAGTTCTGTGTTTCAGTCTCTTGAAGTAGAATCATCATGTTTTCATATACGCTCCAAGGTTCAGTTACTGGAGATTAAAAGTGTTTCTAGTGATTTCACATGGCTTCAAAGATAGTCGCCTCCCATAGATTAACTTGACTTCTTCAAACTAGAAGAAATCTAACCAACCTCGTCCAAGTGAAGCCTTTAACTTCAGAACTGTTTAGCGAAACTTCAGAGAAAATGCATTGCTGCTTTATCTGTACGCTTGCACGTGAAACAATCCAACTGCCGGAGATGGCTATGCAGAGCTTACTGTATGTATTCTCCCTGCACATAGCATAAATAGCCTCAGGGGAAATGGAGAGGAAAGGATTTTGCTAGGTGCAGTGAGGGGATGTTAGAGCTTGCTAAACCCAGCAAACATCTGGAAGATGTTGAAAGATCCCAAAAGATACTCTGAGGATTGTTGGGTCTTGTGTTGGTCTTTGTTTACATACATGCAGTGAAGGTTTGGCTGGGAATCTTTGCAAAGGAGCTGACAGAGGTGAAAAAAGCTCACTGAAGTCCAGTGGGAACGAGGCATTAACTTCCCCTCCAAAAAACATTAATCACTGACAGACCTATACCAAATAAATAAATAAAGTGTGTAAAAGCAAAAAGGTGTATATTAGCAGATGAGAATCTGGTTATCTAGTAGATATTTCAGAGGGCAAGCTTAATTTCCAGGCAGCTGTCTGGGGTGACACAAGATTAAATTTCTGAAGTTACTATAGAAGGCAAATGCAGCTCACTGTGTACTATAATAATACCAGATACAGGGAATCAAATGCAGGCACATTCACCTATTTTTTGGCTCAAAGAACCTAAGGAGTGAGGTAATGGTAGTCATGAACAATAGAGATTGTATTGATATAAGATGCTTTTAAAGGGAAAAAGGCCTTTCTGAATTTTATATAATATTAACATAAGGAAACAATTAAACTCTTATTTAGAAAAGACCAGAAATATATGTCTGTATTTAATTTAATATTTAAAAACTACCTTTTACTGTTGTCACACAAAATACATTACTTAGAATAAAAAGCCGTCTTCAAAGAGGTCAGAAAGCTTTTATGTTATTACAACAGGGGGATAACAGCCAGAATAACAGCCTAGAACATCAGAAGCACAGTAACACCTCATCTTCAACATGAAGTTGCTTCAAATAATCATGTTTCTGTTACACAGGGATGCTAGGCAAGATGTTTGTACAACGCAAAGCATATGCTTTCAGCACTCAGCTATAAACATTTGTTTCATGGTAATCTAGGTGGACTTATTTTAGAAGAGCTGCAATTTGCTGCTTATGTGTCCTGCACTAGCTAAACTTTCAGCTTTCAGCCTGAATTATCCATAAATCCTTTCTTAATGTTAGGAGATGCCAGTGGCTGCTGCAGTAAATGAACACAAAGATGAGCAGTTAGCACACAATAGATAGGGAGAGACGTGCATTGCCCATATGTGAACTTTATTCCTTTTGGAGCTTTCTGGTTGGACTGTTTTGATGTGTACACTTGAACAACTTGTTTCTTCTGCTGTTGCTTAGAGACATACTTACATATCAAGTAAAAGAGATTCTTCACAACTTACTCCTGGCTGAATGCCATTGTAGGAAGCAATTTAGATTAAGGATCTAGGGAGCCTGTAGTTAAATTCTTCATGATTTATTTAAAAAAGAAACATAGGAAGAACTGTTAGGTTTCATTTAAAAAAAAAATCTTTTTTCTTTTTTTTGGGGGGGGGAAGCATTATTGCATGCTCTCATTTTTGAAGCCCTTAAGAAACATGTAATGCAAACAAACAAGTTTCTCACGTGTGGCACAAGAGGACCAAGTGAATCAACAATTTGAGAATTGCTATCAGACCCCAGGGTAAGGAAGACTTAATCCCACCCTCACAACTCTAAGCACTAAGACAGGACTAAAATTTGCATTTCTGACAAATTTGTTCTGGAATCTCCATTCTACGGCTTAAAGCCAAACTGGAACGTGACCTGTGGAAATTTCTATGCATGTGCTGGCAGAGAAAAGGGGCAGCAGGCTCAGCCAGCCTTGACGGAAGTCCTAGGTTTGTAAGTACGTCAGCAGCAAAGCCATACGATGTCCTTGTCTTCATTTAACAACTTCAAGTGTTACCTCCGTAAACCTTGCTGTCTATGGACTTTATCCACTCACCTTGATTCAGCCTCTAGCAGTAGCTGCATCAGAGTCAGGAAGCAGGAATGGAAATATTCTCCATGTTACCAGTCAGCGTAACTTATTTATTTAACTGGCTGCCAAGATGTGCTTACTTTGCTTGTTTTTGTCCTCCACAATGCTTCTCCTGTTTCTACCATCTCAACAACTACAAAGTCACTATTCAGTAAGTTTTTTTACCCACATGACACCTCCAGGATCCATAAGCAAAGTTTTGCTAAACAGACTGCTGTTCTATGTCCAAAAATCATTTTCCATGGGAATGTTTATTGTTGATGTTGCCGCAACTTCACCTTACCATTCAGCAACTACCAGATCAGGTTATTTATTATGAAATTCAAAATATCTGTCTGAATGATCAGTTTTTTTCTGAGTAAAAGGCAGATTTCACCCCCCCAACATTTCACTTCATTGATCTCTTCTGAGCACCCTAAATATCTCTTTCTCCCTTCATCAGCGTGGGATCTGATTTATTAGTAAGTAAAAATCACTGAGATACTCACCCTGTCTCCAGGTCGTACCATTGGTTCTTGTTTTGTGCCTAATTTATGTAGTATATTGTAAGCAACCTTCATACTTCTGGTCCAAAGTTTGCCTATTAACACAAAATTTGTGAAATTAATTTTAAAATTCTTATGTTTTACAAGATTATTAAAGAGAAGGAATACCTAAGCAGTGAAAAAAATAGTAGGAACATTATTAGTTTTCCAACTAAATATGACAATACTAAAGGACTAGTGGCAATATTCAAACACTCATCAGAAGCTTTCTTTGAACTTCTCTTTTTTTTAAGACAGCATCATTTTTAAGAAGAAAATTAAAAGTAAGAACAGTTTTCTTCATGGTGGAAGTAGTTTTCCTACTCTGTGGCTGAAACATCATCAATGCCAGACAGATCACGGTAACACCCCTAGCTGTAGCAAGCTGGACAAGCCGTGTTTCAGCCCAGGCTGACCTCTGAGGGTATTACTGAGATTTCACGATGGCACTTCCCCCACCCCAAGCCACCAAGTGAAAAAAGAAAGCAGTCCCAAGAAGCAGAGACAAGGAAAAAACCCAACAAACAGAGAACACCCCGCAGCCACAGGGGCATACTGAAGCAGCAGGGACCCTCTGATCCTTAGCACATCTGTATGCTGCATTTCACTTTCAACTCTGGGCCTTCTTCCATTTAACTTGGCTTTTTCTTCTCACTCTCCCATAGTCTCCCTTCCCTCAGTTTCATTTCACTTGCCCCAGGGCCCCTTCCTTTTAACAACCTCTCTTCTCCCTTGCTTCATCTTTCCATCTCCACACTTAGCTGATCCTTATCAAGACCTTACCCCAATACTCTCTAAAGAAAAAAGTCTCTCATCAAGACCTTGTTGGCCACATTACATGCCTTTCATTAATCCTTCAAGTGATCAGCATCTTCCAACTATGCAAGCTCTTTCAGATTGCCTTTGTTTAGAGACCTTGTTACTTCCATTTGAACAATACTGAGCATAAGAGCCCTTGTTCTTGGCTGGCCCCTAGGTACTGTCTTTCAGCAGTATTCAGCTTGATAGTAACAAATCTTTAATTCATGCCCACCAATAAGTTAAACAATAATAGGTTCTGACAACGGATTACCTATGGGGTTCAGCAGTTCAGGCTCCCAAACAGGCAGTATTGCTATTTATAGCTAAGCCAAGTAGTTGTTATAATAAGTTCCTCCACATCCTGGTTATAAAATGCAATACTACTGAATTATTTTTAAGTGCAAATCTGATATAAATATAATGTATGATGAGAAGGCCAGATTTTCTTTTTTTCCTCTTAGGGAAAATTGGAAGGGTCACTGCTGCTTGTTACTGAGAAAGTACTAAATGCAATTACTTCTTATGAAAACGGTAATATTGTATCACCAAACTATGTTTTGCAAAGTTTTTCATTTATCTAAAATTACTCCAGTATTCGCATGCTGAATCGTCTCGGTGCTCAGAAAGAAACATGACTCAATTCTCTTCCACTAGAAACTCAGCATGGATACAGGAGTACCTCTGCAGGAGTGACACTCACAGCACTACAGCAGAACTACCTGCATTTGATGGAAAGAAAGTCTTTAAAAGCATCCCTGATGCTACAGTCAACACCTGACAAGTGGGTAAGATAAAAACAAGGATGCCTTAAGAAAGCAAATATTCTTTTTCTTAAAGGTTTCCAACATTAAAGTTTCAGTGGCAACAAACTTAAAAGTGCAATTAGTAATGCTACAGAAAATTGGAGAATGGAAATCAAAAGCCTAGCAAAAGTTCTGAATTGTAAGAAAGAACCATCTTTACACAAAACACTTTCAAGCATGAAATGAACATTGAGTTTTTAATCCCTTTTCTGAAAGACATAAGGGGCTGCTGTGAAAAGTTCTGTCTGAACTACGGAGATTAAATCTGTTACAAGTCTTAAGTTCGCATTTGTGACGTATTCACACTGATTTTTCATCTACCAATGTGCCACCTTACGATATTTTCTTTGAAATCTAAGGGCTATTCGTATTAAAATATTTAGATGCCTTCTTTCCAAAGTACCTGGGTACACCGTTCAACCATCTCCACGTAAGTGATCTGAGTAAATGCAGAAATTAAATTTTCTCAAAGACTAAGAAAATTCGAAGGTTTTACTTTCTAGTAAATTTTTAAAGAACTAAGTTTTTAAATATATTTTGTCATTATGCTCTTTTCTTGCCAAAATTCTATTTCAGCTTCTGAAACACAGAGCATATAAGGCTGCCTCCCTAACTCCTCACCTTTCTGTTTAAACACGCTTTGAACTGCACAAAAAATGGACGTTATATTTTCTAACTGTCAGAAAGTACTTGAATTTTCTGTCACCATAGCCCTTTCCTGCTCTATTTACTGGTGCAGTACCAAATGACGTTACTTAGCCGAGCTAACTGCATGTGCATATTGGGTGTGAAACTGTGGAAAACTGGAACCAAGAAACCAGTTTGCATTCAGCCGGGAAGGAGCTGGAACATACCGTCTCTCCTGCGGCCCTTAAAGGCTGTAACTTCGCTCTACCCCTTGCAGGCTCTGCCCGCCCCTGCCTGCTGCTGCCTCCGCTCCAGCGGCAGCCGGGGCAGGCAGGGCGGGCAAGGCAGCTTCGCAAGCAGGCAGAGCAAAGGCCATGCAGATCTTGAACTGGATCGTGTTCAATAGGAAGCCCGTGATTTTTCTTCCAGGGCATATAGTTGCGTCTCAAAAAATAAATAAAAAAAGGGCCACAAAGGGGGCAGTAATCCAGAAGCTGGAGCCAGGAATGTGTGAATCGTCAGGGCCAGATCTGTGGCTGCTGGATGGGGCACGAGCTTCTGACCAGAGGCAGCCTGAACCATGCGTTTATTTTGCTACCTTGGCTGTTTGGCCCCCCAACAGCACTGACATGTACAAAGGACTCCACGACTGCAGGATAAAAGCCCTCAGTAACGGAGGATGTTATAAACAAGGAAATCTTTGAAGTATTTCCTTCCTTGGTTCTGCTTAGGTTGCAATTCAGTGTAATTCTTCCTTTGCAAACTTGAGAGATTAGACGTTGCTGGGAAAAGCCGATTGCTAAAACCTCTCCCACAAATCCTGATGCTGCGACCTTGCCGCGACCTCCGTGCGGTGCCACATCTGTGCCGCGGGAGAGGGAGGCCCCGGCGAGGAGGCCAGCTGTGCTTTAGCCAAGGCTTTCGCACCGAGACAGGGCTTAGCGCCGCCGGGCCGACCCTTGTGCGCGGTAAATTGTCTTCGTTACGGGGGCTGCAGCGGAAATCCAGCTGTTCGGGGTCGCTGAGGATATGCCCGTTGTCCTCAGCCGGAGTGCAATGAAGCACCGGTCCTCCTCAGATAAACACACTGCCATTAATCTTCTAATAATTTGGCTTCAAGACAGGAGGGCAGATGTAGGAAACTGAAGCAACAGCCTCATTTAGCAGTGAGTGGACCAGCCTGCGTTTCAGCTCCGTGCCAGAGCTCCTTTTCTCCAGCTGTGCTGCCGCTGCAGAAGACTGCCCTCGGCCCGGCCTGTGGTGGCAGAGCACGTGCTGCTGGGTGCAGGCACCTCGAGCACTGCTGCTGCTTCCCCGCCGTTTCCTCAGGTGAAGACCAGACCCCGTGAGCCCTCCTCCTCTTCACCTTCCTGCCCGCGTCCCCACTGCAGCGGGGTCCTTTCGAACAGCACTCCTCCCTGCCTCGCCGGGGACAGGACTTGTGCCTGCCAGCCTCGGAGCTGCTCACCAGCCACACATGAGCACCTACTTTCTTGCATTTAAAAATGAAAAATTGGGAAGTCATCTGCAGAGGTAAGTCATCAGTGAGGGATCTGAGCATCCCGTGGTGTTTCAGGCATGAGGGCACTCTCCAGAAGGGGCCCGGGCCCTGCAGCCCCTTGCCGTGTCTGCCAGTCACACAGACGCCATGGGTAACGCGGGGCACCAGATGTTTAAGTACCTGAATCACCCCTCAGTTTTGAGATCACAAAACAAAACAGACTGGTGTTCATAGAAGAATTTCCCACGTTGATTTTGGAAAAAAAAAAGCCAACAACATCCAGTTAACACACACGTTGCTGCTACTACAAATTATAACCTTGTTCCTACCTCCCATCAAGCTGCTAACTGTGGTGCTGCTTTCCAGATCTTGTATAACTCCACAAGATGGTAAGAAATTAAGCTTTTCTCTGCATCTATTATTGCCTAACTTACTTATAATTGCTTAAGCATTTACTGAAATAAATCTTCTTCCAAAGACGATCCTACCTTCCTTAGCCCAGATTGTATCTTCTGTCGCTTGCCCAGAGTGCTGCTGCCAGACTTGCATGCCCTGGCAGTCCGTTTATGCAGGGAGGCCAAGTCACCTTTAATGCTCTTCACACACTTGCAAACTGAGCTGAGTGTTCCCATTGCCCAGCAAGTATAAGCAAGTACTGCTATGCCTCTGAAGCCGAGCCATATCCAGCAGACATCGCATACGCAGATATTCTAGGTACGACAGGATGGAAAACAGCACCTTGCTTTCTGGCAGCTGTGACAAACACTGTTAACACCTGCATGGGGTAAGGCCGTTTTCTTTTGCTGCTGGAATTTTGATTTAGTTGAATAGTAGTGAATCTACAACAGCAACCACATTATTTTACATTTCACTTGTATTCAGTCTTGTTCTTTTTTTAACAGTCTATTCAGAGGGCAGTATATTTACCAACTAAAGTTTAGCAAACTGGAGTGAGTTGATAGCCAGTCCCATCTGGTTAAGCAACACATTATGAGGGTAAAGGAAACCATGAGGTATTAAAAACCACACAAAAAGGGATCAGTTAACAAAAATTAGCTGCTTTTCACATGACACTGAAGTAAAACCCCTTACTTTTCCTTTGCAAATCTGTAAAAGGAGTATGTTTGTGTTGAATGTAAAGAAGGTTGTAAGAGAAAAGCTGTATCAGGGAGAAAACTCAGGAGAGAAAACAAACCACAATCAATTTCCTTATCATTTTCAGGATGCTTTTCAGAACCACACAGCACTAACTCCACAAAGCCAAACCAGTGGTCGCTTACCAAACTCCGTGCACAGCAATTGCGAGACTGCCAAAGTTTAACTG